CGACGCCCGTCGCATAAATTTTTTTTCTTTTTTTCCCTCCTTTAAAACTGACACATCAAAATTATATATATATTTTTTTTATTATCCGAAACGATTGAAAAGATGCCGGGACATTAATCTCAAAATTAGAAACTTGGGAATTCAGCATTTCTGAAGTAAAAAAAAAATTTCCAAATGCCGAATTTGAAGTTCCCGCGCAATTCACGCCAGTGCAGCGAGTCAAATTTTGCGGTCTCCTGCGACTCGACTTTCTTTCGGACCTCCGCTCCACGATATGAAGAAAAGCACCGTCGCCACCGCGACCCGAAGCGAGGAGGAGATGAGCAGGCGGGATAGAAGGGCGCCGGCGCAAGAAAAAGCCAGTTTCTTCCCCGACTCGCCGATAATCCTCTGCTCGAGTACCGCCAAGTTTTCCGAGGGAGGATACAAATCCAGAAAGCGACATCACACCGAAATATGATTTTTGGTATTTCAAAAAGAGGGGCCGTAGTGTGTTCGTAATTGTGTTAAAAAACATGTTTTACGATTGCCATTATTAAATATTGTAGAAATGTCGCCTACAAAGCTTCTAAATTTCCCGATTTTTGACGTCACCAATCAAAAGAAGCAAGGAGGTGAGCACGGAAGATATAAATGCCAAAAATAAAAAGGCGCACGCAAGAAAATTTTTTTTCGCAATGCGTTTTTTTTTTTTCTTTTTATGACTACAACTTGCATCGTTTTAGACAATTAAAAAGAATACGACCTTTGGGGTGTCAGTGCCCCTTTAAAGGACAACCCCGGTCAATAATTTTAAATTTGAGATTACAACTGTTCTCGGCTAAAGCAGTGTCCCTGAATTACAAGGTATACTTTTATTTTGGATATTCTGTGTAGCTTTATAAATATCAGGGCTCAAAGTTTGGTTTCAGGCGTCTACGGCAAAATCGAAACTACCTGCTAGAGGAATGGCAACACTGATCATTAGCCGTATGGTCGCGGCGTGACGTCACAAGGGTGCTGCGGTACAACCAATCAACTGCAGGTCCATCGCGACGTGATGTCACAAGGGTGCTGCACCAGTGTCCCTTGACTAAAAGAGTAGCCCGCTTGCCACCCACTTTCTTTATTTGAACTAGCCTTCGGTAACTCAAATTAGACCCTTAAAGAAGTTTTCATTAAACAAGATACGGAATATGAAAAACACTTCACCGAATGCAACGCCAGAAGGACGTAATAGGATAAATATTAAAATAGAAGAGTTCGCTGTCTCACAAATATGTTAGCTTCTAAGTGCCTATACGAAACCGGATGCATTATTATCAAACTCCACAGCCTTTTCTTTTCTCATTCCGATGGAAGCAAGCTTCAAGAACTCGCGCGTTCTAGAAACGTGTTATGAAATGAGTACACAGCAGCATTTAGGATTTACGAGATTGTAGGAAAATAAAATCTCGTGACGCGATTTTTTTTTTTTTTTTTTTTTGCACAGCCTTCCAATTTTCCTTTTTCCGTGCAAGTCGCGACCAGCGCAATACTGGTTCCTATGTAAAGATTCATGGATGCAGCGTTTGTCAAGAATCATGGATGCAGCGTTTATATTCCTAAGACTGAGTGGAGAAGAAAAATATGTAAGCGAGGTGTGTGTCAGTTGACGGCACTTAAACAAATGGCATTGATAGCACATTCATTGTCAACAGCGCGTGGCCGAACCGTTTTGACATGAGCCGGTAACCGTTATTTTTTTTTCCGGTTCAGTTCCGGTTCGGGTTCATCGCGATAACAATATAACAGTTCGGGTTCGGGTTCAGTTCCGGAAAAAATACCGGTTCGGTTCCGGTTTTCGGTTCGGTTCGGTTCCGGTTCAAAACCCTGATTTCGAGTTCAGTCGGACGTAACGCTAGACACTGGAATTAATAAAAATTTAAAATAAACAAGTCTGTCAACCATGCTTCATAAAGAAGAGAAAGCCCATTTATTTCCACGACTCCCAGTGAAAGAAGTTTTGCAGAAAATAACATTTAACTTATTTAGGTCACATATTGGGCCACAACTTTCACATCCTTTGTGCCATCTCATAAATGTCTGCTCGGACAGACTTATTATATGGACTGACTATGGAGGAGCTGTGACACTTTTTTGGAGAACCACGGAAAGAAATGCAATCTTGAAAATGTAAGTCAATAACAACCCTGGGGAGGGCTAGTAAACAAATTGGAAAGCAACTTTTACACGACAGCTTATTCCAAGTCTACTATGTCTGCGGGCTTCCAACACTCAGACTCTCATCAAAAATATGGAAATCGCCACCCAGCGGTTAGATTTCATTTTTTTATGATACAAGTTCCTTTGCAGGCAGCAGCAACTCTTTCACAGTGGCTGGGCAGCTGTTTCGACAGCCTCATCAACATTTGTCCCTGCTCATGTGCATCTTTCCAAATGCTGGTTAAAGCAAGCTCGAAGTCCACTGCCATATTTGTCCTTCTGTGCCCGGCTTTGGATATATGGTCTAGAGGACAAAAACAGGCTCTTGAAATAGATGCGACTTTTCTAGCTTGAGGTCAAATTCTAAATGAAACAAGTGGAGCCCTACGGAAACAAAAACGTGCCAAGCACTTTGTATGAAAGAAGATGAAAGGCGTAGAACTGTGGTGAAGGCTGCCAATCGCACGCACTGACAATGACCCCAATGATGGTGATTCTATGGCTATCCCCCTTGGAATGGATGAACTCGAATCTAATTCGTGCCTGCATGTTTGTGCAACCTTGGATGGATCAAAGGATGTGGCTGAACACTTTAAATAAAGCAACTGCTTGCACCTCATTTTCTTACTTGATCAGGGTGAAATTAATGTTAGCTCCAAAAATCCATGGCCCGTAAGACAGTAGCAAAATAAACTGATGGGCTAGTTGGACAAGCAACAAAACACAAAATAGTGCAACGGGAAAGGACAAGTAGAAGTGGACAGAAAATGGGCCCAAAAATATCTAATACCTTAGTGCAAAAAAAAAATATATATTTTGTGGTAAATTGAGCCTGTCTGAATGAAAAGTAAAATAATCAGAAAAAAAGGAAGAAATGCAAAAGCGTTGAGTGCTTCCGCACAAACATGCAATTTTGCTTGAATGGTGACATCTTAGCCATTTATCGGCCCAATCTTCTTTTCTTTATGTATTCTGAAATGTGTGCAAACTGGTGTGACTCAGCTCAAGTGCATAGTCTTGGCTAATGCTTAGACACCATATTACTGCACAAGTCACGCACTGAGTGTGCCAGCATGTCACACACTGGCCAGCTCAGTGCAACAAAGGATGTCTTCACCCTGAGACACACAGACTAGTAGGCACCCTAAAAAGCGTATGGTTATTGCTCTTCTTTCTCTTTTTCTGACTTTTCATTCCAACACGGTGAATTTTTTAAACTCTACCTTTAATTATAACCTTTTTTTTCCCCCTTTCACTTGTACTAATTTATATCTTAAATTACTAAAGCTTTTTTTTTTTTTTATCCCTCCTGCTCACACTACCACACCCCATGTGCATTAAGACATCAGTTGGCAGTTGGCATTTGTCCTCTCCACTACTACCTGTCTCTGTCTGGTGCACTATTTGTGCTTTGCCCTGTAAGACAATGGCATCCTTATGCAATCAGGTGCATATAACTTCAGAACTATGGCATCACCATGGGAAGAATAAGAAAATATGCATCTTTCCCTCAACTTAAATCACTAACATGACAACCTTTGCTCGGTAATCTCACTTTCTCTAGATCTGTTTTTAGCCAGCTGCCCCTGTAACTCCCCCCCCCCCTCTCTCGTGCTTTTACCATATCGGTCCCCTCTCTCGTGCTTTTACCGTATCGGTCACGACTTCGGCAACTTCAGGGTGACACACTTCGCAACAAGTCAAGTGCACAGCCTTGATTCTCCACTGTAAAGAGACATGCCCATAGAGTCTAGAATTAAAGGCCATGGAGTTCCCCAGTCCCGACATCACATAGTTTCTGAGCACCGTTTCATGGCCGATTTCTGCTGGCCACCCTTGTTGCAAAAATCTTCCTTCCCCATTTGGGCTTGCATGGCAATATTTCATTGAGAGTGGGTAATGCACAGATGCAGCTGCGAAAACAGAACTATCAGACGCGAATTTTGATGGGCAGTTCATAGAGCTGTTTAATTGTGTTTCTAAATGTCAAGTGGCACACGACGCCCTCTGGTGGTCATTTGACACAGTGGCAAGGAATGTCCCAGGATCATTCGTGACCCCCCCTCGCATGCTCCCATGAATAAGTCACAAAGTTTGAGAACAATTGCTTGCCCTTTGTTAGTATCAAATAACATTGGCCCCTTTCCTCCGCAGAGCTTACATTTGCTCTCTCGTGTCTCTCAGCCCTGCACTGACATCTTCCAAATGTAAAAGATTGCAGTCTTCACAGAAAGTGAGCTCGCTCAGAAAGTGAGGCTCGCTCACAACTTGCGACCGCAGCTGAAAAGTGGTTGCCATCCACAAATGTTTGCTTCTAGAAGACGCCAACTGTGAGGTTCGGATAGGCGCAGAGTTCTTCGGCTGCCAGCTCTGGCACCCGCAGAGGAACGGCTGGCCGTAGAGCAGGGCCGGTTCGGCCCTGCTCTACGGCTTGCTCTACGGCCACAAATTTGCAAGTGCCTCCACGCTTCCACGCCAGAAAGGCCCAAGTTTTACAGTATTCCTGGGGCTACGCGCAACGCGTCTGCCGATCGGCTTTTATGTGCGAGGTTCAGGCGCAGCTCATCCTCGTAGACAGCTCCCAACTCGGCCCCCCGACGGGTCCCCCGTCCCTGCCGGACGCTTCGCGAGCTGATCCCAATGCGCAACCAGCCGAAGGTGAAGAACAGAGCGTGCGCTCCAGATGCGGGCGGCAAGCCCATTCGGGCCAGTTCAAGCTCCGACGGTTCCGGACCGGCACCTCGCCAGGCTTAGGCCAGGCTCCGAGCGCACCGGGACGGCCGCCGTCCAGCGGCCCCGCTATGCAAAGCGCCCACCTGTACTCGTGGAGGAGGGCGCCGCTCTTCACCTTCCTGGTGACCGCGAAGCAGATCCCGTCCGTGTGGCAGGTGTGGTTCTCCTCCGCGCTGCAGATGTCACAGTGGCACTTGAGCCCTGCAAGGCGACGCTTCATGGAGATGCCGCTACGGCAGCGGGAGACAGCCCACTTACGTCCCTCCATGACGCTGCTTGGCATGTCCCGAATCGCCCTACCAGTTCATGCGCCGAGTGGCTATTCCGAAGAAACGCCACCGATTGCAGGAGAAACAGGAGCACCAAAACTCCAGCATTATCCGGGCGATCTGGGCATGGCGGCCAGCACCAGGCCTGAGCACTTTTAGAAACAAACGCCACTATAATGACTCTAATGGCGCCGACAGTATCGGTGGTATCGGGGTAACGACACTAGCGCTAATGTGACTGGAAGCGCGTACATTTGTTTTAAAAAAAAAAAAAAAAAAACGAAAAGTATATACAAAGCCTTTACTAAACACACATTCATTAACTCAGAAATAATATAATTAATCTTTATTAAGATAAAATAAACCTTGCATGCTCTCCACAGAATTTTTTTTTCTCTAGCTATCATCATCATCGTTTATAACGTATCGAGTAGGGGGCTGTGTTCCAAAATTTACTCGATCCGACTCCGGAGTAAAGGTTTCGTACCTTGGCGTTTCAAAACTTACTCGCACTTACTCGATGACGTCAGAACTCGCGTTCCAGAAGCGGGTTGTTTACTCCGGAGTAATTACCCACGTTACCCTCCTCGATTGGGGGGTAACGCCGGATCAAATCGAGTAAATACGTCACGTGATCTGTTCGTCGTCTGCTTCCTGCGCCGACAGCCGTCAAAGCTCGATTGCTCCGTTGGCTTTTGCGGCAGACGTTCGAAATAACAAAGGAGGTGCGGCCATTTATATGTGGTTATTGCAATTTGCTGTTTTCAACGCAGGAATTTATTGCACCAGATCCAGACCGTGTACCTTCCCTCAGGAAGGTATACTTGTTGTCGTCAGAGTGCGAGCATAAACAGGAGCTTCTCCGCATCCTCGTCCTCAGCGTTGGAGGGAACTCCGTATTATTACGTTAAAGGATGAAAATGTTCGAACGCAGTAGATAATGTTGAAATTTCGGGGGGGGGGGGGGGGGGGGGGGGGGGGGGGGGGGGGTTGTTTGTCCCCAGAGTGTGTGTAATGAGAAGATTACGCTAAAGCAGAGAAGGCATCGACGCTTTTATGTATACGTTCAGTCAACAACCCCACCACATTTCCCTCCCTAAAGAATTGTCTATGCGGTTTCGAAGTGCTCTCTGTGATTTTATAATCATATTCGCGTCAAAGCGAACGTAAGTTACATATCACTGTTGAGAAAGCCCCATGCGCTCTACCGCTACACCGTGTGGGAGCATTATCCGCAAAACGTAATCGGTGCTAACTACGATGAGTTGATGCTGTTTATGGCGCCTGGACAAGACTTACAGCGATCGCGCAAATTAATCAAAACAAAAATGTTGATGTCTAACTGAAATGAATGAGTATTTTTTATCTAAATATACGGCCTAAAAGGAAGGTGAGCAAAAGGAGCTGGTGGAGCCATTATCGTCTCTATCAGAGCGGTTAACATGATCGTCTCTATCTGGTTTCTCCGTGATCAAAAGATATCGTCTGCTATTTTCCGCCATCGCCACTATGTTTTCTTTTTGCCGTAGCCCAAGACGAAGCCAATCCGCGTAGTATCCAGGTGATTATTCCGGCCGTTCCAAAATCGAGTCGCGGATCGTTTACTCGCGATGTCACGTGGTATTACCCGCTGACGTAGGAAGCAGGTTACTCGGGTAAGATTTGGAACATAGCCGGGGAGAAACGTTGAAGGGGTGTGGGGGGAAGACCACACCGAGCAGACCACAGTGCAGCAGACGACGCAGAATCCACTGCTCGTCACCTCGCATCAAGCGTTGGGTGCTCCTTGGTTGAGTGGGTAACACGGGAGAACCTGTTTCCCGTAGCTCGCTAATTTCACGCATTGTGTTTATTTGGCTCAATGTATTTGTAATACAACATTTTATCAAAGCTTGAAGACATGCACGCCTAGTCGTTCTAAGCAAGCGCTTTTGGTGCTGAAGTGTTGAAGCTCCGGGATGGTAATGCACGGTCCAACACAGCTAAGGCGCGGGATAATGAAAACTTACCATCGAGCGCTTTGCTACTCCTACCACGGTGAACAGCATACAACGTCTTTAATTATTCCAACGATATGAAACCGACAAGGAAAAAGCTCATAAAGTTGAAAAAAAACACAAAAGCGATTTCGTGTACCCCAGTGTTTTCCAAACTGTGGGTCGCGACAGATTCAGTGAGGCGTCGCAAGGCGGTTCAGGAACTCGAGAAGAAAAAAAAGGCTTTTTTGCGGTGGCGTTGAATTGGAACAATTAAAGGTCGCGGCTCAACATCAACCTGGACCTCCGAGTGTGTCCAAACCAGGGACTCAAACTGAAAAATATAACGTTTCGCTTACGGTTATTGTTTCCTGTTGAAATCGGTTTCGTTTCGATCATTGTGGTCTTAATTTGTACGGTTTCGGTTAACAGTTACACGTTTCGCTAAAAACCGATTTATTTCGGTTTCTCTAATAATTTGTATTGAAATGCTTGACAGCCGTTTTATAATAAACAGTTCAAAGTAGTCCCAGACAGGGGTTTCCCCAGGAATTGAAATTAGGGAACGTGTCTAAATTTAAGGGGTCGGGGGGGGGGCGGGGGGCGGGCAGAGGAGGGTGCCTTCAAAAAAACAAAGGGGGGGTCTACACACCCCTTATAGGGAGTGTATGGGAAATCACTGGTCCCGAATATCCAACGAGACATTTACAATAACTCAAAAACGTCTTAGTACTTCTAATTGGTAAAAAGGATCACACGTTTCTAGCTTTAACATTTGTTCACTACATGTATTTGCAATATATAGTTTCATAACCAAGCATACAGATCACCCCCGCTACTCGGCTATCATTGTATGTTATATAAATAATAAAAATAAACTTCGCTACTTTGTTGTTCGGAAGCATTTGTAAACAACCCTCGGAAAGTTCCCACTGGGAACTGGAAGAACCATTCGCACCTTCTTGTCGCTATAGTTTGTTGCAACCTAAGATATCTAGAAGAGGCCTCGCCCACACTGAAGGGACAGAACTATAGCCCTCCTCAAGTAAAATACTAGGAAAGTAATAAAATTGAGGGCTGAACTAGTTGGTGAAAGTAAAACACAGAAAGCTGTAAAAATATTTCCCAAGTTGTTCGTTCCTTTCCCTAGTCTTCGTTGTCTAGCACGGTTATACCTACGTCATGTTTGCCATTTCCAAGCAAATGCATCTGGTCATAGCAGTGCATGTTTTTCGCTGTCAGATCCTGCAATGCTAGAAAAATTGGGCATTTATATAGAAGCAACATTTTTCTCCGGGGTTTGGAGGTGGAGCTTCTCCTACAGATGTGCTGCAGCTAAGGAAGTCATAAACTTCCTTCGAGTCAGATTTTTACGTTGAACTGCAAGGTTCAACTGGTTCGACGAACTTTCCAACTTTCGACCAGGCTACAAGGTTAGACGTTGTGGACAGCAGGCACGTAGCCAGGGAGGAGGCCCATGGGGCCCGCCCCCCCCCCCCCCCCCACCCGAAATCTTTCATTTTGCTGGGGCCTCCTTTCCCCCCTCCTCCTCATACAGCATTTTGTCATGGGCAGGCACCTCCACCTACCCCGAATAGCGACATATACAGTGTGTCAGATTTAGAAATAGAGACTTACTTATAAGCTTGACCACCGATTCCAGCTAAGTATTCTTAATCCGAAATTTAGACTGAACGGAAACGTATTACCAGATGCACTACTCGCTGAAGGCAACTCTGTTAAATGGCCACAACATTTCAAGGTCACTCCTTGAGGTCATTCTTGAGAAAAACATTTTTTTTTATTTTTCGGTTTGTATCGGTTAACATCGGTTACCGGTAAATAATTTACAGTTCAGGTTACGGTAAAATTTTCATAAATTTCAAATAATGGTTTCGTTCCAGTTACGGTTACTGAAAAAATGTCATTCCTAAACGGTTTTTAGTTTCGGTTACTGTTCGAGTCCCTGGTCCAAGCTCCACCATTGTTTTGAGAAACTGTGCTCTAAGCAAGCTCACTTTGTCACTAGGAACGACGATTCCTGCTGGCATGCGCGTTTATTTACTTACTTATTTGAGACGTTTTTTAGCCAGGCTGATCCACTCCGACTATATTAAATAATGTGGTGCATTTGTTCATGCACTGAAGTCGAAAAACTAATTGTGGAATCGCGAAAAGCCCGGAGGTCGCGGCACGGTGTTTTTATATTTTCAATAAATCGCAAGGTTGTTTTTTATTTATTTTTTGTCTGCGTGGAGCTTGGGATGTTTTAATCATGCTGTTTAAAACTCGGAGACTGGGAAGGAAAAAGATAAATTAGAAAGAAACGTGACAAACAAGCATCTCAAACTCGGTTAACAAAATTTATTTCATACAACACTTTTATATCCATCTCCCAAAGTTGTAGGCAACGTCAACAACCACCGAACACACACACACACACTTCAGCAAACTTTGTTGTTGTTTTTTTTGCAAAAACACTTGCTCATGACCAGCATCGCCTGCATGTTCTGTTAAATTTCTATCATTCTGTCAGTTCACGAAGTTATTAAATTTCCGTGATGACAGACGTAATTCTGGGCAGAACTTGTTCTCAAGCTTGGTGGCGTGTTGCGGGCGACGCAGACGGAGCTCGTTGACTTGGAGGTGCTGCCGACTAGTGGAACCCCGAACTGGAATGGGAATAAAATGCGGAGAGCAAGTCGGCTGCTTCTTGAGCAGGAGTTGCGGTGATGTCAGAAAGACGCCGCATACTGATTGACTCCGACTGAAAAATAGTGGGTAGACCTCAAAGCAAGCTGCCTCGAGGTCCACCCACTATCCTTCAATGAAGGCCAATCAGAGCCCGGCGTTCTGACGTCCCCACTACCCCTGTAAAAGAAGCAGACAAACTTGCTCTGCGCAATGGGAATGGAATGGGCTCGATTCTTATGCAAGCTGTGTTGATTTTCATTTAGGACCTACGGGCGCAATTCATTAGGGCGTGATAAGTGACTCTTGAAACAGCATCATTGCACTGGAGGTGTTTGATGGCTTGATTGCCTCACTTGTGCATGCTCCGTCGAGGATGAAAATGGCGCGCCCTCAGTGAAGCAACCAAAACTGAATAGTTGTAGACGGACAAGGTGTCTTTCTTGGCACCGCGAGAGGAAACAAAGCGGATGTTGTAATCATGTGCGATTAGCGTGTAGCTGTTACGGATGTTACCGAGGGTGTAAAACTGAACCGAAAACCGGAGCAAAGCGATTATTTTTAACTGAACCGGAAGAAGACTGTAAGCGAAATCAAACACATGGCGTGGCGGTTACCGATTCACTGGAAGCGGTTCAGCGTACTGAAATGGCAGTTATTAAATTTCCGTGATGCCTTCTTTCGGGTGGTGGTGCGAAGTCAACTAAATATCCGCGACGGTGGAGTCAGCGGCTCAGTTTTGCCTGAACAAACGGCAACGACAACATGGAGGCGGAGAACAAGTCGTCTGCTTCTTGCGCAGGAGTTGCGGTGACGTCAGAACGACAGCATGGTGGAAGGCGGCTTGGCGCATGCTGTTGGAAATCATCCCGAAGGCTGCCTTGATGCGTCTTTCGAGGTCTGTCATTGTGTGAACTCAGCTGACGTACACCTTGCTCTTCACAAACTCTCACACGAAGAAGTCACACACGGTTAGGTCAGGAGAACGCGGAGGCCATGGCATCATCGAGGAGCCTCTAACCATCCACACTTTTGGGAACAATCGGTCCAATCATGCCCCGACGGATGACGCATAGTGCGCGGGCGTCCTATCTTGCTGGAACACGCACGGGGACCTATGCATGTGGAACTCTTACACCTCGGGCAGAAACTCGTCTTGAAGCATGCAAAAGTCATCTTAACATGGAAAAAAAAGAAAAGAAAGTCTAAGGACACTTAAGCGTTTCTTATGAGGTGTGAATGCGAAAGCCTTAATAGTCGTTCTTCCGCTTCGTTAGTTTGTCTGCGGCGTAGTGGCGTGGACGGCCACATTTCCCTGGCCGACGGCCGAGCGCGCGCTTTTGAGAAGTGGCTGCGCCGCGCCGAGTTCAGCCATGCACCCTTCCCGGAGCTTGCCCAAGCAGGCTCTGCTGCCAGGCCCGCACCACAGCACTGCTTCTAAGGCCCATACACACATTCACATTTGAATGCGTTTGACTGCGTTGCGGCATCCTTGCGGTCAGGAGCGGTCGCTTGTGGTACGACGCGCGCCTTCCCGCAACACTTGGTAGCGCGACACAAGCGAGTAGAGACTCACTCAACTTTTTAAAGCATTGCAGTGCGTTCAACCAATCAGAAGTCGAGAGAGGAGGAGAGTCACATGCGCGCTCGCGCCACTCAGCGAGGCGTATCCGGTTCTCCGCTCGCCAGTGTCAAACTGGAACCGAACCGAACTAGAAACCGGAACTGAACTGTTATTTTTAGCCGAACCGGAACGAAACCGAATCGAAATCGTCGCCACCATCTTGGAACTGAACTGGAAAAAAATATAACGATAACCAATTCACGGTATTATCTTTTTATTACAAAATGAATATTTGAGGAATAAAATTTGGCAGCTGCATTGCTATCTAGTGATGTGTGAGAAATTGGAGTTTTTCGTGGTGCGCCTTGTATTGGCACTATGATTAATCATCTCTCACGTGCTCACGTGACGTCATGGTGTCAAGACATGCTGTCAAGTAGTGTCACGCCACGTGGCCCCGTGATGTAGTCGTGTGACTCACTGCATCAAGTCAACTGAATTGAGAATGTGACTAGATTTATTAGTGTTGTTGACACCGTGAAGTCACATGGCATCACGACTTCTCACAGAGAGTCGCATGGCACCGTGACATACTCAATCGTCATGGGCCCGAGTCCAGTGCTCGGGTTCATGACAATCGGCATCTCCAAACATTCGGGTAATGGCTCGTGCTCAATCAAGGATGAGAACAGGGATGGGCAAAATACATGCAAATATGTATCGAAATACAAATACAAAATACTTCGTTAAAAATGTATTTAATTACAAATCTAATTACATTTCCAAAAAAGTATTTAAATACAAGATACAAATACAACCAAATGTATTTGATCTCCTCCAAATACTTTTCCAAATACATTCCTCAAAATCTGCGTGAGCGACTTCAGGGCACCTGCAACGGGTTTCTAGGTATCTCATTATAATTTTGCATTGCACACTCGGGAGTTAGTGTGCGAGGCTCTAGTAACGTAATAGAAATATAATAAAAAAAAAAATGTAATCAGCTTGGACGTAATAGGTGAAAAAGTACAGAGCTTCGAGCAGCTTTTTTTGTCGATTACATTTTGGTATAGACCAACAAAGAACCGAGACGACCAAGACGTGCAGCACTAGCTAGAGAATATTTTATTGTTGCAACTCGCACCAGTTACAAAAATTTGGACGACCCGCGCATTTAGAATGTTCCAGGCAAAAATATGAAGGGAAATCAGGCTGGAAAGCTCACAAGTTGTCACAGGCACTTATTTAGCCAGTCTGCCTGTGAACATCGATTCCGTCACTATTTTTGCCCTGGACTAGCACCGTAATCGCGAAGTACCGAACGCTTGTGCTTGATTGAGAGACACTGGATTCGGTGCAGGACATGGTTTTCTTCCTGCTCTAAACAGTGACAATAAATTTGAGGGATGTATTTTCGCCCACAAAATTGTATTTAATTACAATTGTATTTGAAATACCCACGTTTTAGTATTTAAATACACACGTCAAATACATTACCCAATTTGTAATTAAATACAAATGTAAAATACACAAAGTATTTGAAATACGTATTTCAAATACTTGTATTTGAAATACTGCCCATCCCTGGATGAGAATAACCAAACTCTAACAATGTCTCAAGCTCAACCCATGCTTTATTCTTTGCCAACCCTAGCGCATGACTGCGATGAACACTGACGGTATACTATAATTAGCGTCGGATCACGCGGTAGCTCATTCTAATAGCGAGTCGAGGAGGGATATAGCTGTTTCGTTCCTTTATTTTTTCGCCGTCCGCAATTGAGCGGAAGGGAAAACTAATGGGCGTTTTTGCAAGTTATCGACGTCAGGGATTAGCTCTTATCGGTATTTAAGGGAAGTAAAAAAAATCGTTAAACGACCCATTTTGTATGTACACATCATTGAGGCACCCAAACATGTTTTCGTTGTTGCTGAACTGTCTCAGAAAGTGGTCCCTAAAAATAAAAGCACTGAAAAAACTAAACGTGACTTATTAATCCAATGATAAATAGAATGAGTGTATACGGAAGGCATACCTGGAAAGAAATATCCTAGCGACCTCAGAGGGACAGCCGAACATTGGCAGCCACTCCAAGTTTCACAGGAGTGTCATTCTCAATATTCCCCAAGCCTTGACCACCTCCGTATTTTGTGTAACTTTACAGTTTTTGGGTGCAAAATAAAATAAATGGTGGATTACTGTTAACAAATGATAAAAATATCATTATCACAGTAGCACCCCCAAATGGAGGTGGGAGTCCCTCTGGAATAAAAAAAAAGTATTAACTGGAGGAGCATCGGAAAAAGAAAAGGAAGGGAGGGGTGTTAAACATACTGTGTTGTAAAGGTTCCTCTGCTCCGCATCTTCGGCACAAACCAGAAAGTGTAGTCCAGGAACTCCTTCCGGAAAGTGTGTTTTCGTAGTGCCACCGGTCTTCAAACCACCGGTGGCTTCGCTGTGTTTCCATACGAGTTAAGCCCTTTTCTTTTTTTTACGTTTCCCTCAGGCAAGTTTGCTCTTTGCGAATTTTATAGAAGAAAATGCACCACCTGTGGCCAACAGTGTACAAAATCGGAACGTGATAGGTTAAGAAAACGATTTTTGAGGTTGATTTCAAGAGCCTGGCCGCTATTTGGGACACAGGGTACCGACGTTTGTTGAAATAAAACTTGTTTTCAAGATTCGTTATGGGACAGCTAGTACTGCCAATCGCACGAGCACTAATGCCAAATGCAGCTGCAGAAATATATTCCGATACTGGTGATATCTTTTTATGAATTTCCAGTGTGTTTTTGTCCGGATACTTTTTTATTTTTATTTTGTAATATAATAGAGTAAAATTAAACTCCGCAGTTCAAAGAATTGGAAATCTAACAAAAATAAACTCCGATAAACCCCGAATTCGCAGCAAAAAATAAACTAAAAAAAACAACCTCCAAATTTCACAAAAAATAAACTTCAAAAACACAAAATCCTACCTATAATACACATGCACAAAGAACATACATGCGTGTTGTACTGGATCAACATAAAGGGCAACTCCGCTCAATCCCAAAAATTTCACGATAATGAGCGATTGCACATTAAAAAGCACCAATAAAGGGCACTATACATCAATTGCTTCGTGAAAAATGGGATATATATTGTCAAATCTTACTTTAAACATGAAGAGAAATCGAAACTTCGGCTCTGTCTGGCAACATTGGCCTCGGGCTGCCGAAAACATGACTATCACAGGGTACGAGATGTCCTGTGATCCCCTATGCAACGATGGGCGGGATTGGGGCGGGATTGGGGCGGGCATATGCTAGGCGCAAGTGTCGTCTGCACCGCACTCTTCACCACGTTTTGGTGTCTACGACATTTGAGGACGTCTGCACAACTGCGGCATCAGTCTGCGCACGTAGTGTGAACGAAACTCCGAGAGACAATAATCACAAACGGTGAGACGACGACGGCGGTTGCGACGCGAGACACGGCGGTAACGGCGGGACGGCTCCGAAGAAGCGCACTGCGCAGGCGCATTACGCCAATCACATGGACCCCACTGAGCGCAGAGAGGAAATGTTGCTGACGTCACCTGTTACGCTTGCCCGAAGAAGGAAAAACAAACAAAAAGAGGCAATGGTGATGACATTTAGCTCAATGTGGGTACACCAACACCGTAGCCTTGACTACACAGTTGGTTGCACCTCGATTCACACGCTAGAGTCAGCCGATTTCGGCAACTTGGCACATTGCAAAGTTTGCCAGACCATTTAAGAAACATTTAGATAGAACTAGGTCGTAATATTTGACGTGTGGTCTTCCTAAGTGATACTGAAGAGGACTGCATCATTTTTTTTCAACAAAAATGAAGCGGAGTTGCCCTTTAACACCAAGGGAGAAATATCACAGAAGAGAGCACAAAGAAATGTCCCCAATTGTGCATGAGCTCCCCCACAAGTTTCAACTCACCCACTCTCACATTTTTCGACTTCCACTTCATTAAATTAATTCTTTGACTTGATCAACTGCCACAACCACTGTACTAAACGTTTGATGCGGACAAAATACATCAGAGCTGAACATCACCCAGCCATAATGCTCGCATGAAGCTTCTACTTCAAAGGCCCATTCACACAGTACAGTATGAGTATGCTCACACAATAGTGTATGATTATGTCTGTTCGACTACATTGCAAGGACTTAGGTCGAGTTATGGCTGCGAGTCGCTGTGCCATTTGTGATTCGTACAAAGCATAGCAATCAATTCAAGAAGTAGCCTTGCATACAACACGCGAAGCACAGATATGCCGTTGACTCTTGGTCTTAACTCCTCGTAACATTGTCGAATGCCACTGTGTGAACGGACCTTTACACGCACCTTTGCGTAATCATTGGGCCACTTCAGTCCATGAGAAACTACCTTTCACTCCTAGAAGTGCATAGCTTTGTTGGTCCCAAGTAGTAGTTGTCCGCTTTATTTCCTCAAATGCGTGACGAGAAGGGAATAAAATCTTCTTAGCTACGCGCTTCCCTCGTGACCCATCTGCACCCAGCCTGAGCAAGGATCACTAGACACTTCTCGGAGAAACACCTCCAGGCAATGGCACAGAGCAGACCGGCGTTCAGCCCCAGCTTTCCAGGGCAGGACTCACTGCGAGGCAACCACCCAACTGGCAGGCACCCATTGCGGTTCCGCCTCTATTTCCTTCAGGACGGTCATCAGTTCATGGAAGGCGTGGGACAGTTCTTCATTCACTATGGTTCGATCAAACATGTGGCCGTACAGAAAGTCCATCTTGTGGCCCAGGTACAGTATGTCGTGGAACTCATCGTCCTGAAAGACACGTCATGGTGACAACGATGCCAGCACACTCGGGTGAGGAAAACACCGCACTGCCGACTCCCAAACTGCACCCCGAGAGACCCACCGTAAATCCTCGGGAGCAGTTCTCGTCGAAGGTCGAGCGTGCACAAGCTCTGTTACGGGTCTCCTTCAAAACCTCCAGACTAGGTGGCTTAATGAAGATCACAAATGGCTTGAGTTCAGCCGTCCTCAGCATCTTCAGTGCCTTAACGAAGGAAAAGTGGGGTTAGAGTCATCGCCCCCCCAACCCCGCCGCATGGGGCTCGCCGCCCTAGGCAAGCCAAGCTTTCCGAGGCAGCGTGCAGTCACCTGGGGATGAGGGCTGAGCACGCACACAAAGCCACTGTTGACAACTGCCCGCACCGTGTCCAGGCTCGTGCCGTACAGGTTTCCTCGGTACTTGCCGTGCTCCACAAAACGTCCCTGGCGAATTTCTTGCTCCATTAGTGCACGGCTCACGAAGTAGTAGTCCCTGCCGTCCACTTCCCACGGCTTGGCAGGACGGCTCGTGTCTGGCAATCAGATCGAAGACCCTGCTCGTCAGCCACAAGCCCACTCACGACACGGGACTCGTTGACCACCGAGGTTATTACTCAAACACTTTCAGCCATGAATTGAATCTAAAATGCCGGAGTTGCACTTTATAAAGCAGGATCTTCAAATGTAGCAACCGTAGTAGTTGGGCAAGTCGTTACATGCTTCACAAAATAAATACGGAAAAAAAAGGGACTCGTCCTGCTGTAAATGTTTTTGTTCCTTCCTTTTTTTCATTTTAATATCTACAGGGTGTTCTATTTTAAGCATTACAGATTTGTTTAAAAACAAGCAGCGAAAGCTACACTTATGCGGTTTGTACAGGTGAGTTATACAGCCAGGCGGACATAGGAGGCTAATCGTAACCGATCAGTCAGCTAATTAAGTAAAATTTGTTAATGAATGTTTTAATTAGTAAAAATAGACATATTGGTTCCAATTCGCTACACTTATGCGATTTGTGTGGGCGAGTTATACGGTAGTATAAGGGACTAATCGTAATGATCAGTCAGCTAATTAGGTAAAATTTGTTAATGAACCTTCTAATTAGTGAAAATAGACCTATGGTTTCAATTAAAAACTTGCTGAGCGTCATCAAAAACCACTGAATCAACTCTTTTTAAAAAAGATATAAGGCAAAAACAGCATTTTACAACATCCTAAAAACACTTTCAGCTTTTCCACTCTGACAAAGAAGGAAGAGCAGCGGAGCTGTAGCTTCTGCTCTCGGCGGTGGCTTTACAGGCGAGCGATCTGCTCTTCTTTCGCAAGGAAATCTGAAGCACTCGACGCACGCGCCTGTTGTGAACCCATTCGCGCCGCTGCGTACGTCGCCACTCCTTCCGCACCCGGTCTTCTTTTCCCGAAGAAAGGGCACGCGACCGACCCATCGTGAGTCCAAACCGAAACTGATAAGAGCGTAGGAAACGACACGCAAAACAGACGAGGACGAAGAAGGAACACGTGACGTGCGCTGCGCTCGTCCCGTGTGTTTCTTCTTCGCCCTCATCCGTTTTACGCGCCGTTTCCAACAGTAAATTCCAATAGTCCTGCTCCCCAGCGGCTGAGACGGGCAACACATGTGCGCCCTAACTCCCTCCATCCTACGAGGGAGGCGAGGAGGTGGCTTCGCACAGCGACCATCGGGAAGCAGGACCACGGGCACAAAGATGCGCTTTGATAAGAAAAAACTTTCAGCCTTTCCACTCTGGTGAAGAAGGAAGAGCAGCGGAGCTGTAGCTTCTGTTCTCGGCGGTGGCTTTCCAAGCGAGCGATCGGCTCTTCTTTCGAAAGGGAATCTGAAGCGTTTGACACAGTGGAACTTTAGGCAATAGTGGCCTTGCGGCGGTTGCAAAACCATTCGCGCTGCTGCGCACATCGCCACTCGTTCCGTTCCCGCTCTTCTTCCTCCGAAGAAATGTTTCCGCCATCTATGAGCGACGGCAGCAGCCAGTTGCCTGGTTGCCGAGGCTGGAAGGGTTGCCGCGATTTATGAGCTAAAGCAGCAAGCAGAGAACCGGCAAACAACACTCTGGACAGTCACCGCCATCTATATGTGCCGAGAGAACTAGTGTCACGTGAAACATTTTCACTTTTGCTCGGAATACTTTATAGCCGCGTGCCGCAAGTTGAGTTTCCTTCAGCAGCTGGAACAGCTTCAAGAGCGGCAAGCGCAAACTCAAGCCGGCTGTGACCATTACGACGCCCGTCTAAAGAAGGGCGCTAATAATATCGAGAAATATAGTACACGATCTAGCACTATAGTCGACATTTTGCACAGTCACATTTGTTATTCTTAATTATTCACACGCCCGTGTCGTCGTGTTTGTTTACTTCGACTACAGTGGTGCTTTCTAAGCATTTGTGTTTTCAAACATCGCCCGGATTTCTTATTTGGCGCATTTCATGCCTGTGCTCAAGTTGAAGGTATTACTGGCGCGTACCGCATAAAGGATGCAAATTTTCACGCGTTTTCATCGCCGGAGAGAAGTGATTAGGGTTAGCAATCCTGAACGCTCGCAACGTCCGTCCGCAACCCGCGACGCCGTTAAAAGGCTGCGCCAGGCAAAAGTCACTCATTTCTTTCAAAATGTGTGACACACTTGAGACAGAAGTGTACTAGTCTGGTGAAATAAAGACTTTCTTCAAACTAAGCTTTATTTTTCATCTAACATAAAATAAATTCTTTTACAAAGTTGTCTGATGGCATGTATTTTGGCCTGAAAAATTGATGTTTTGGTTATAGCCCAGTACCACTTATAGTGCGGATTTTTGCGACTCCTGCGACATACGTTATATGCGGTCTACACTGTACAAGGGTCGTTCAAGGTTGACCGGAACTTTCGTCCATAAGAAAGTGCTGAGGAACTGTAGCATGATGAAACTTGAAAATGTCAATGTACTGTAAAATCCCGAGAGATAGCCCACCTAACATCAACAGCAAATCAGGTGAAAATGTGGAGTGGGCTAACTTTCGGTGTAAAATCAAGAAAAGTTTTAAAATATTAATATTTTGAGGTCGTTTCCCTTCCAAGCTTGTTAAGGTGGCGAGGGGCAACGAAGGAAAGATGACTACTTCCCAGTCAGCAATGTTCCCGCTTATATCCCGTCATAGCTAACTAGCCACATTTATGCCGAGGCCTAGCACTACTATCACTAGGTGTGAGCTGTCTTTCGGTGTTTAAACAAATAGAGCAAATCAAGCCAAAAATAGGGGTGGGCTATCTTTCGGGGGTGGGTCGTCTCTGGGGATTTTACGGTAGTTCTTTTTTAATTTCTTGAATCCAGATTGACATAATTTATGCATGTGCAGCAGTTCCAAATATTACGGTGGCGAACGATGTGTGTGTAACTCTGGAGCAGTGGTGCATAATCAACATTTTTGGAAGCAAGAAGCAAAAGCAGCTGAAATTTTGAGAATGCTATTGCAAGGACAATATGGGAAAAAAACAATGTAACGGACAAGGGTGCATAAGTTTGGCCAAGGAGGACTGCCGGTGACAAATGAACTGCACAGACATGCTCCTCTAACTGCAGTTATGCACGCAGTTCAGATCTTTCTGCACCAAAGGAATCAAGCAAATGCTAAACAATGGCTGCGGTGTCTGGACATACATGCATGAATACTTCGAAATTTTGTGCTTGTCGCATTTTTTGTTTCCTTTATAGGAATAAAAGTCCCGGTGAACCTTGAACGACCCTTATACTAAGGAATGAGTATAAAATACTCTCAATGAAAGGTATCTCCAACAAAATTTCCTCAAATACAATACCTTCCGTAAAGTATTTGAGATAGGTAGAAATATGGCTATTTGTAAATTATGCTTAGACAGTGTGCCGAATGTGTTTTTCAATTGGCAAACAATGAGCCTATCGCTACTCGAGGCCAGAAATGCATGGAGGGACTTGCGGAAACCATTCGTCAGAACAAGCCTGCTGCTGCTGCTTAGTCATTCATTACTGATGCGTATCAAAAGGACCTACAAGGAATGGTCGTCCGGAACTTGTCAGGGTTGCTGGCAACCAGTCTTCGCTTCAGCTCATTCCTTCCGACTCCCGGGGGTCCTACAGCAGAACATGGGCGAAATCCCTGTCGAACTCCCTCGAGAGTGCTGTCCTCCCCGCCGCACAAGGCAACGAGGCCACTCACCGATCAGCACTATAGGCCGGTGCAGGCCGGGGCGCGGATAAAGCTTGGCCACTTCCTCATAGGTGGAAATCAGTTCACGGTCAAAATCTGGAATGCAAAAAGAGAATTTCTTGTGAGTACCCCTCTGCCTACCTGTGACACCCAAACAGTTTTCTAACTGGGTTCCTAGGAACTGAGGGGTTTCCCACAACCCAGGTGTTTCCCACAACCCAGGGATTCCTAGGAACCCAGGGATTCCTAGGAACCCAGGGGTTCCCCAGAACCCAGGAATTTCTAGCTACCTAGGGATTCCTAGGAATCCATGGGTTCCCTAGAATTCAGCAGTTCCCCAGGGTCCCCTCACGGTTTCCCCCAGAGTACCCTCAAGAACACCTTACAACTAAGTAAGGTGTTCTTCCACTTCAAGCATCATTTTAGCAGATCTGAGCCACTCAGTGATGCATAGTATGTGCCAAACACTCCCTAGTAAAATGAATTACTGTTTACGAGGTCCATGGGCTTCTGCACTGCTTTACTGCATCACTGGCGAGACTGGGGAAGTTCCTCAGCTATCAATTAAAAAAGATAAGCATTACTCAACACAAAAAAGTTTGAGAACCCCTAAATTACCGGCTCATTGCGCACTGACCTGTTACAGTCAACATTGCCAGCACTCCTCCTTTGACATTTTTCAAATTTTGCTTGATTCGTATACAAAGCTTGTGCTAACTCCTGTTGTGCCTGCCAGCAGTGAAATTAACAACTTCCGCCATGTTTTCGTTTTTTTTTTTCTTTTCTTGGTACTGCCGGCACATATAAACATTTAAGATCTCTCTCACCTTTATGACAACATACCCTAAATTGTCTTGTCCGGCTCAACAGGATGTCTCCCCTAACATGGTGTTTGAAGTATAGCCGAGGGGAACCATCTTCGAGACGTAGAACCAACAGTGCCGGCCAAGGAGCCAAATTGGCCATTTTGGTAAGCTGGCCTTTGGTTGCGGGCGGCAACTACAAACCGATCCTTGAATTTTGCGGCACACTGAATCACTATCATGCATATTAGCGGCATTTCTTATTTATATTACCGAAACTAATAAGCTTTACTACGCTAAAAAAAGAATGGCTCAATTGTGAAAACAAACTTTTGCAAGGACTACCTTGCAGCACAAACAAACATGTGCAATGGCATGTGACCAATAAGCACGCACCAGGACCGACGCACCCACTTTTTCTCGAGGGGATCCAAGTATATAGGTAGCTCGCTAACAGTGGGTTGCGACTGCTGTGGAGGACGTTTGCGAAATAGTAGTTAAATGAGTATGCTACGTCCTGTCCACAAAAATACATATTGTGTGACCAATATTCATATCTGCAATGCTGTAATTTCCAGATGATTGATGTAGGAGTTGGGCGATTATTCTCCATGTCAGGTCTGCTCTCGATGTTATTCCTGCATTAAACAAGGAGTGCGAATAGTATAATACCGCTCGCCTCAGAACTTTAGCCAGTCGACTCCTATATGTCTAAAATTTCTTTACATCTTCGGCGCTCCTGGTATTTAAAAATTTACGGTATAGCTCATTTTTTGAGCGCATTATCTCAAAGCATCCTCGAGTTACCCACGGTTGTTCGGTGCGCTTTCTTAGATTGACTGGTTTCAGTACAATTACCCGACAAACTTTGTCAAAGATCCGAGACCCCAAGTAATGACAACAACGGTAACTGTGGTCCATGTCAACAAGGCTTCCACAGCTCTTCCGCTCACCCTGGCCAAACTGGCAGGTCGTCCCGGGTCGCTTCCCCTCTGCAAGTGTAATGCAGCCCCTACCGTGCAACGAGTATGCGAGCGGCGGGCCTGGGTGCGCTACTTGCCCTGGTTGTCGGCGACATGGTACATGACCTTCTTTGCCCTCCGGGCCTTGAGCTGAAGTGGCGAGTAGTAGCAGCCAGGAAGCTCAGCCTCGTCTCCAGCCACTCGCAGGGAGGCAAAACGCCTGCGCCCAAAAAAGAATGGTATGCAAATACCTCGGACTGCATAACGCTTCCTTAACGACAGCCCCGATTTTCGCCACATCTGACTCTGAGGGGTTCTTCTGTAAAAAAAAACTGTGGTAGAAAATTAACCTCCCAAAGGCTCCTCAAACCCTGAAATTGTTCCACAACAAGCGATGCAAGGAACATATTGCCAGCATCCTCAAATGGCCGAGGGATAGAAGAAGGTGCAAGTGTGCATATGCCATGGATGGGATAGAGAGACAGGAGAGTCAAAATCGGGAGACAACACGAAGACGAGAACCCAGTCTTCACTCGAAAACAGACGTAAACACCACTAAAGTTTTCACACTTCTACAACTTTCGAAGACCACCAAAATAAGAAATTCAATTCACGCAAGTTTTACCAACGACTTGTGTTTTCCCATTTTCTTCTAAAGCCTATTTCACATGGAGCGACTGTGCAAAAAAAATCGGTGAGACAGTCAACGCAGCGAGTGCGATTGCAATGTTTGGTTTCACGTGCTCCAACAACCGCGCAATTTCTGTTGATACGGTCGGCTCTTCTACCCAGGGTTAGTTGCAGCAGACACGGATGCGTCACGTTTGACTTTGCTTAAAACACAACAAAAATGTCTTAATAAACACAAATGTTTTACAAATACAATATGTAACTAGAAATTTCTAATAATAAGCATTAAACCAAAAGCTTTTAGGTGCTGGTGGTGAAAAGAGACATTCCAGCTTGAGGGACAGCGATGGTCCGTATGTCAGGGTGAACCCTGCTGTTCCTGTCAGCGACTGACCTCTAGCTCATTTCAGATCCTACTTGGGACAAGTGCCACAGCCACCACGCACCTTTCCTGCAGGCTTGGGGCCGGGATGAGCCGGGCGGGGGCCGAGCGCTCCCCGTCCCAGCGTGCCTGCCACCATCCGGCGTCCGCCACGCTCACCACATGCAGCACCTGCCCTCGGCAGAAGGGCAGGCCGGCCTCCGGGCACGGGATCAGCGGATCCCGCTCGGGCGCGTAGTCAAACAGGGCGCGCAGTCGTAGCCGCCGCTCCGCGCAAGTCAGCGGCTCCTCGCCAGGCACCAGCTTCAGCGTGACGGGGCCCTCCTGGCTTTGCTGGGCACACCCGATGTGGGGAGGAGCTCTAGCACTTTGCCTCGCAACCTCCCCCCCCTCCCCCCACGCATTCGACCCCGACGTGGAGTTGGCGGGGAACGCGTCTTTGACGGAGGTGTTTAGCGCCCCATGCTGCCCACGCATCGAAAGCGGTCCCGAAGTGGCGACAAATTACGCCAAAAGAGTGTCACACTGTCAGATGCTGCGGAAGTTCCAACAAGAAAGATGAGCAAATCCGAGGGTCGCGGCAGGCAATTGCGTGAAGCTTCTATGACGTCACAAGGCAGAAATTGAGGGACCACAAATGAGGACATATGGTAAACTCACCAGTCGGAGGCGCGGTCCAGACGCCAGAACTATGGTGCCTGGAATGCGTCTCAGACTGGTGTTTTTACCGCGTCCAAAAAACGTTGACCTTCAATTTCAGCCTGATGACGTCGTAGAAGTGTCACGCTGCCACTTGTCGCGATCCTGACGGTGTCACAGCAGCTGTGGTGGATGTGGCAGACGCCTGTACTGTCGCAGGTCGCACTCCAGCTCGACAGTCCACGGAAGCTTCGGCAGCCAGAAGTTGGGACGCCGCGACGACAGCGACAGTCACGTTTGCTCGTGCTTTTTGACGGAACATTTACAACCATCCGCCAGGATTACGACATTTCATGACACAACACTCCGGCTTTTTCAACAACATTTGTTGCCACTTCGGGACCACATTCGATGCATGGGCAGAACGAGACGCCGAACACACCAACCCTAACGCCGGTTCAAGGAGAAAAAGGCCGAATTTAGGCACGACACTGCAGCCAGTGCACCGAGCAAAGGGCGCTCCTTCGGACGCAAATGCAGAAAAAGAAGCCAAGATTGGGTGTACCCTTTCCCGCAACACTGCACTAGCAGTCGTACCATCCCTAAATCAGACACCTTCCAAAGCCGGCACGTAAAGTCTGTCATATTTATTGGGCTGTCCAGTGCCGAACGAAGTGCAGGAGCAAGCTAGAATACATTGATAACAGTGCCGTCAAATTCGATTTGGATCTTGCTGCTTTCTCATTTGCTGGTTCTATGGTGAGACGGCACTACTCAATGGCGCCTTTGCCCCCCGAACTATGACACATTTCCTCCATTCAGCACTCGAGTCCCCACGACGCTGCATAGACAACATCTGATTAGCGGCGCAACCACTTGAGCAGACAACTTTTGATGAGGAACCAAAACCTTTATGAAAAACAAGAATTCATCAGAATAGAAAAAAAAGGGGGGCTTTCAAGGATCCTGTATTGCAAGACACTGACATAAGCTGTTCAAATGATGTGATAAATTTATCTTGGAATAATTACTCAACAGTAAAAAATTTTAAATGAGTACTTGATCGTCCACAAAAAAAAAAAAATTAACCAACAAAAATTTTAATGCAGTGTTTGAATCAACATTCATGTTTAAAACAGCGACCCAGACCGAAGAAATATTGGTTACGGTCTCCATATCAAATATGTAATCGGTTTCATTCTAGCTTTCTGGGGTTACGGTTTTCAAGATACAGTCATGTCTCATTCATATTGAAACCCCACTATATGAATACCATTTTCGGGGACAAACTGGGAAAATACATGCATTTTTGTCTCCTTCCTATGGACAACTCACATTATGAACAATCTTTTAGGGCAACGGAGGTGTCCACATAAACGAGACATCACTGTATCAGTTAATGCTTCTGCATTCTTTCATAAACTTTATTTTGGCTTGAGCCGAACAACAAAAATAGGCAACTGGGAAGTTGCTCTAGTAACACAAGTAATGCTCAGTGCAAACAATGTTTTAACTTCAGCCAAATAATTGTGGGAGTCGGTCCCCGTCACTTCTTGACTCAAGAACAGAAAGCCATTTTTGCTTGCGCACGCTAATTTTTATGTAAAAAAAAAAACAACTGAAGTTTGTTATACATTCTCATCCCCTACACAGCTTTCCGAGTCACATGCACAGTGACACGAGTCAAGGTGTATGTGGAGGTTTCAGTTGGGTTCTGTCTCAGCGCCCTCAGCGATTGTTGACTTTTCAAGGTCCGGTTCAGGTACAACAGAATACCGCACTTGGTCAGCATCACTGATAGTCACGGTGGGCGGGCGAAGTCAAGACAAAAGAGGAAACGCAAGTGCAGACTCTTCTCCATTCATTGAACAAACCTGGTTTACAAGGGGAACGGTAGCATCAGAGGGGATGGTTTTGTTCTTCTCTGATAAGTCAGGCACAAAACGTTAATGAATTTTGGCGATAGTACGAGTTTTTAAGAATTTATTTGTGCTTAAAGACCGACGACCAGTTCGCGCTTTCCACTTTTCTCCCACTTCCTCCTCTCCCCCTTTCTACCCTTCCACCGTTGCCTGTTTTCTCCTCCCCATAGAGAGGAGGATCTTCTGCCTTGCAGAATCTCGAGTCTGGTCGTCGGCCTTTAGAGGCCGCCGAGCAGCCAGAAGGGAGGAAACTCTCCCACAATTCCTTTTTTTTATTCGAGAAAGAAGGAGAACCTCCTCCTTCCTGAGGAGGGTAGCTCAGAGATTCGCTCCTGTGGGGAGAGGGGGTGAGAAGAATGCAAGGAAACGGAAAGAAGTACACTAGGAACCGGTTTTCTGCCCGGCAAAAGACGATTCTGTAGGTCGGCCTTTAAAGGGGAAGTGCAACGATACTCAATTGAAATGTTTTTCACTTTACACAAGCTCACTGGCACTAGTGGGACTCAAGGATACTTGCACGCAATGCCACTGGCCAAGAAACTTTTGTTGCGGTGCAATTTCAAGGATAAAAGCGAGAGTTTTCTTTCAATCTCTCCTTCGCAAAAATTGACATAATTAGGGATCGCAGTATCCCCCAGTGATGATATCTGAATGCGGCTCATAGATTGGACCCAAGCATTGAATGAGCACTCAATTTGGGCTTGTGATAATCGATAGCTCAAGAAGCATTTGGGTAGTGGCCCGTGTCCAATCGTTGCAATGACAATAGCCATACCCTAACAATGTCTGGAACTCAACGCGTGGCTTGTGCTTTGCCAACCCCAGCGCATGGCTATGATCAACATTGGCAGCGTACAGGGTGTTTCACGAAAGGTGGACAAATTCCATATTGTGAAAACTATGCATCGCACCAAAAAAAGCTTGTGTCGTTTTGGTCCTAGGCCAGGGGCCTATTCAGGAAAATTATTAAAGTTCGGGATAATTAAGTTGTTAATTATTTTTGCATAATTAATTTTTTTTAAAATTGAGTTTAAGGGCATAGTTTCCATTAGAACCTTACTAAGCATCATCGAAAAACACTAAATCAACAGATTGCAGAACGATAGAAGGCACGTGCGGTATTTTACGGCTTTCTGAAAAACCGCACGACTTCAACAAGCTTTAAAGTTTCGGTTTGCAATCGGAGCGCTTCTCGGCACCGACGGCACCGCACCCTGTGGAGAAATAGTGCAAACAGCCTCTGCTGCGTTGCATGAGAACAGAGCAGCAGAGGCAGGTTGCACTATTTCTCCACGGGGCGCGGTGCCGCCGGTGCCGAGAAGCGCTCCCACTGCAAACCGAAATTTAAAAACCCGTCAAAGTAAAGTGGTTTTTCAAAAAGCCATAAAATATTGCAGAGGACCCGCTCACCAGAAGGTTGACAACGTCCAGGGGTGCCCTGCCCTTGACGCTGACTCCATTCACCTCGTGCACTTGGTCGCCCACGTGAATGAGGCCTGCACAAGCACATTCTTGAGATGCTGGTGGGCCTGAGGCCCATTCCAGTCGGGCACAAGGCCCGTCACTTGCCGCTCCGGTCGGCCGCTCCTCCGTGCAGGATCCTGGCCACCGTGATTGCCTGGGCCCCCTCGCAGAACTTGACAGTGGCCCCCTACACACAGAAACCCCTGGTGCTCTTGGGGGACTCACTCGGAGGAACCCCGCCTGGTCGTCCACAGTAGCGTTGCCCGGTAACCCACCACATTCCAGAAGGGCAGTTTGTGCCAGGGCATCAAAAAGACCCCACCCAAAAATGTCGTCAGCCTCGTGGCCACTGCACCAGTTATCCGAAGTCGTCCTATCCTAGTTGTGCAAGCTCGGGAGTTGTCAGACACACGTGCCGCGTCGGCCTCCCGATTTTTGTTTTCTGCCCATTAGGTCAGCGGACGTTTCGGGCTAGAGTCCCGTGACGCGCCACACGCTGAAAGTGACAACCTGAACACAGCAACCGACACATTGCTCGATAGGACTGGAAAAGGGTCCAATTTGCACTATTCGGCACGCTTTCCGCCTTTGCGCATTCTATCTTGCAGGTCTAATCTATAGATCAAAAGTACCAGGTCCTTCCAGTCCTTTAATCCTTCTGATTAAAGCACAAGAGCGAAAACGGCGCACGAGGCTTCCCTCCATCCCTTGCACCAGTCGATCCCTACCTCTGACCCTGAGACACTGCCTTTCCCGCTTCGTCAGCTAGGCGCTCACCGTCTGTGCTAAGGCAACGTCAAGCAGTCACGTGCCGAAACGCCTCACGGGGCAGACGGCCCACCCACCAGTGGTTCGTTTCCCTTGACCAGCTGCACAATGCGGACCGTCTCCTCATCCTCGTCGCAGGGGGCCTCACCAAGCGAAGGCACAAAGTCCTTTCGGGCCACGGCATCATGTGCCTCCAGAAGGGCCTGCAGGAGGAGGGACGCTGCAGCGGCCGCCCACCCACTTGGCACCGTCCGCCTTACGTTGAGGTGTGCAGAGCCCAACAAAAGCTCCAGCTCCCGGGCCTCTGACATCGGGCACTTGGGAAGGGCATGCAGCACCTGGGTAGGTACAGACACACCTCAGGGACCTTGAGGGGGCAGGCAGAGCGAGCAACGCTACCTTTACTGCGCACGACGAGGCGTCGCAACTGGACGGAGCTATCCCCTGGTTGCTGAAGGCAACAATCTTCATGTGGATCTGCGTGCACAAGAAAATCGTCGCCGTATTTCACGTCAGTTGTCCCCACACTGTCAGCTGTCAGTCACCACCCTTCGGGAATGCTGCACCATCCCCGAACTCGAATTTAGGACAAAAGCTCACCACTTTTTTCACGAAACCGGACAAAAGCTCACCACTGACTTCACGAACCTGGACAAAAGCTCACCGGGGAAAGTTTCATGTGGTTTTCGACACAAGCTCAAACAGCTTCAATGCATCCGTGAGACCCCCCAAAAAAATGATAACAGAAATGTGACTTTGCTCATGGTTAGTTACGGATTAAAACATGTTTATTTATCTATGGTTTAAAAACAGATACAATCCCCAACTGCCTTTAGCAGCCTCGGAAGATCCCTGTGCTGCTTGAAGTGCTCGCAGATGTAAGAGGTTCTGGAGACACTCCGTTGACTTGCAAACACTCTTCACCGGCGGCTCACCTCTCTACTCTTTGATCAAAGCTGGGGCAATGAGTGCTTGGGCTTGTTGCAGGCATTCAATGAGCCTCCAGACGCTTGGGTGAGCATGCCCAAAAAGCTTCTGGAAACCATTGTTCCATCCTTCGCAGGCATTGTTAGTCCGGTCTTCGTCTTGAAGTGTAGCCTCGTGCACATTCCCCAGTTTTGGGTGAAACTCCGGTCGTCGTCGACGCACGATTACGGCTGGGGGAGCTCTTGTGGTGCTTGTCGCAGCAGAACTAATATGGAAGGGGCCGTTGACGTACGTCGAATCAAAGTAGTCGAGCAGGTCACCGATGTCGCCGAGTCCTTCGGGCACAAGCTATGGTGGGAGGAATGCCAGACCATCCAGCATCCCACACAGCTTTCTGAACTGGCCGTCAGTCTTGTACTGGTCCAAAAGACCCAACTCCAGAACCTGGTTAATACTAGGAACAATGCCCAATAAAGAATGGCTCACTCGTAACGAAAGCAATCCTATTGTCTTTGCATGCACTCCTCGAACGCCACGAGGGCACAATCATTAGCAATCAAGAACCATACGTTCCAGCCACCTTTATGCTCATTTAATTCAATATTTAGGCATCTTTCCTTAGAAGCTCAATACCATTCCACACAGCTGTCTCAAAGTGACAAGTTGAATTTATTTACAATATCAAAAAAGTATAACTGCTAAATATGGCTCACCTTTCTGCGATTGCTTTGGCATAGCTGGAAGAAGCAACCTCTGGTAGTAACGTGTTCCCCGAAGACCTCCTTTGCAGCTTTCATGGCGGCGATCTCATAGTCGCTTATGATAACAGTAAGGTCCAGATGGTACCCTCTTTCCTCACAGCTCTCCACAATCGCTTCAAAGAGTTCCTCGTAGGTCGCCAAGCTCTTTCCCGAAAGAAGTATGAGCATTCAGGCCAATGAACTGTCTCCTACTTTGCAGCGCAGGACGTAGAGCTGCTTGAATATCTGCGAGCACACTGAGAATGTGCCATCCATATACCAGGTCTAGCTACTGCTTAACGCTGCGAGTTGCTCGTGGGTGGAAGAAAACCAGCATGCGGCCTTGGCGCTCTTGCCCGTTGTCAAAGTAGAAACGGCTGTGGTTGTGCTCTTCCGGTTGTTGCCCAGGTGTCCTGAACATGCAGGTCCCTAGTTGTTGACGGCCCTGTTGGGCGCACCTTGCTTCGCTGTCGACGCAAGACTCGACAAACAGTTTCCAGGTCTCCAACATTCACACGCACTTGTTCCGATGTTGCAGTGAGAGCTTCGGCGAGAAGTCGGCTCAGGGGTTCGGAAGTTCCGGTGGCTTTAGTTTTCAGTTGACTCCTCAGCTTCGTTGTTTCGGTCGTGCTTGCATCATTCGCATGATTGTGCTTGGCTGGGGACCAGTGCAGAAGAGAGACAAAAAAAGTGTATTAGCTTTAAATTTAATTCAATAGTTGTAGAAAAGAAACAATCGAAAACGTGCTGCCATTCTACGCAATAAGATATAAAAAGACAAATCAACGTTTCTCGATATTGATACCGTAAAAAAACATTACGAGATCCAAAATACTTCTCCATGCATGCAGGTGCAAACTGCTGTAAAGAACGCACCCAATAAAAATAATTATCAAGTACTCACAGCAAGGTCTGTAGTAATAGTTCCTTTTGAACCCCAAAGTTCTTTGGTATCGACACTGCCACCGGGTCCAATAAATTTTTGAGATCTTCTGCACATACTGGCATACATCGGCAAATTCATTCATGAACTCGCTCATTCACCTTCATTCACATTGACGGCGTGAATCTGAATGGCCCTGAATGAATTCTTGAAATTGAAAAAAATCATGATGTGATGGTGAATGACTTTGTGAATTTGAATGAATTCGTGATGTGATGGTGAATGACTTCGTGAATTTGAATGAATTCGTGATGTGATGGTGAATGAAGTCGTGAAGTCGTGATGTGATGGTGAATGACTTCGTGAACTTGGATGAATTCGTGATGTGATGGTGAATGAAGTCGTGATGTGATGGTGAATGACTTCGTGAATTTGAATGAATTCCTGATGTGGTGTTGAATGAAGTCGTGATGTGATGGTGAATGACTTCGTGAAATTGAATGAACTCATGATGAGTTGTGATTGTGAATGACTTCGTGAAGTGAAGAATTCATTGTGATGTGAATGACTCAATGAATTCGTGACGTGATGGTGAATGGCTGGTGAACACGATAAATCTGTGATATGAGTGGCTCTTGAACTTGACAAGTTCGTGATGGGAAGTAATACCGTAAACTTAATTCTCGACGTGATAGTGAGTACGGTTATGAATTCAGAATAGGCGGAAAACATGTTACGCAGGCGCTTGCTTGCTTGCTGGTTGTTTTCATCCTTCACCGCAAACGACAGGGACCCATTTGACTTTAGCGGTTTGGGCATCAGCCTCGCTGCGTAGCCGTGCGCGCCTCAGCGCGGTGGCCTTTTGTCGAGTCAGGTCCTGGTTTTAAGTGGCTGACACAAAATGGCGCCACAGTCCTATTCCACGAGAACTGCGAACTCGTGAAGGGCTACCAGCCATGAAGTCAAATTTAGTCAGGATGAACCTGAATGACTTCATGAGTCATGCGGAATTCATGATGTGATGGTGAATTCCGGTGAATTCGTGTTGACCGTGATGGTGAATAACTTCGTGAAGTGATGGTGAATTCAGATGACTTCGTGAAGTGATGGTGAATTCGGACTAATTCATGATGTGATGGTGAATTCACGATGGTGAATTCTGATGAATTCAAGGTGATGGTGAATGACTTCGTGAATTGGTGATGTGATGGTGAATGATTCAGTGAACTTGGAGGCGGCGGTGATGTGATGGGGATGAATTCTTGGCGCGGTTGAACGACATGATGTGAAGGGGATGAATTCTCGGCGGAGCTTGAAAGCCGTGATGTGAAGGGGATGAAGTTTTGGCGCGGTTCAACGCCGCGATGTGAAGGGCTACGAATTTGGGAGGTCAGAGTACCTTGTGACGTGAATGCGAATGAATTAGGAGACGTGATTTTGTTCGTGATGTGATGGGGAATGAAGGGGCTCTAAAATGCCGACCTATGCATACTGGTAGCCATCAAGCAAAACTTTTTTTTCTTCCCCTAGTTGGACAGAGTTACCTCCATGGTAGAAAAAGGCATAAGCACAATACTTCCAGGCGTGGCAACTAAGTCGAAACAAAAAAGTCGTCAAACCCTAGTTGCGGTGACCTAGATTTTTGTTCCAAAACGTTGCCTCAATGCCTATTATGGCTTATCACAAAAGGCAGGGCATTGGGGCTTTTCAGTTTGAACTTGCTTGGGCCGTCAGACCCAACTTGCGATGACCTAGATTTTCCTAAAAAAAAATTGTTGCCTCAGAGCTTATCATGGCTTATCTCGTCAACAAATTCAGGAATGAGCAGTTTTCTGAAAACAGCGCATTATTCATCCCAACCGCGCCATACACCAGCTCGTGTTTTTCCCGGAGAGCTTTCGTCCGAGTAATTGAAAGAGAGAGGTGAGCTTTTGTCCCGGTCTGTGAAAAAACGGGTGAGCTTTTGTCTGGTTACCCCCGGACTCGCCACAGGGAGTCACACCCCCCTGCTGCACACCACGTGACTAAGACTTCCAATTTTCAGGTGTCTATAAAGATGTCAAATGCCAGATATGCCAGGTATAAGTGAAAAGGTAAGGAGAAGGTTTGGTGCTTCTGAATTGTTAGGGTTAGGACTTTAGAGATCTCTGGAAGCTGGATGTTCCATGCAAATTCAGTTTGTTCTTGGTGGGACATGACTCCAACAACACCGTTTGTTTCTCCTGGTTTAGTTTGGCCACAATTTCCTTGTCGTGCCATGACATACCGCAGGGGGTATGGTGTGAACCTTCTATGAACTTCCCCTTTTTGCGAGTTGCCAGTGCAAGACACACTAATGACATTTGACAATGAACACCAACTCTTTCCATGTGAAAAAAGCATCGAAAATCTGCAGATTTTGTATATTTTTCTAATATAAGAAGTTGGCCCTCATTTTTTTTTCTGAAACCTGCTTATTTAAGGCATCAACGGTGTATGAAGTGCAGGAGAATAAATTTAAGAGATTTAGCCCAGAGATAAGGCGAGATGCATGGTTTTTTAATTCATCTGCTGAGGAAGGCTCACTGTTGCACATTGCCACATTGAGCCTGCTGGCTTTGAGTTGCTGCAAACATACAGATGCATTGCCATTTTATTCCAAGTACCATTGCTCTATTGCACTATTTAGGCTGCTTGTCTCCTTTATTTGTGTTCTTTATTTATTGCCAAACATGTTGATAAGACCTGCACCAGGTCACAGCCATCAGAGCACCATATCAGTCTCCGAACAGTGCAGATAAAAAGTATGATTATTGTGTAGTAATAAAAAAATATGAAATACTGCAATTATCTTTCTAGACAGTTGCACAAACTGTTGCAAGACGAAAAAAAACCAATAACATGCATAATGTGAGTACCACACTCACATGAACTAAGGCTTGGAGGGCTTTGTCTTGGAGCAAGGTCGCAAGGAAGGCAAGGTCCCCACCGTGGTGCTTGTGGCAGACCTGCTCCAGAGATGCCAGCAGCCTCTGCATGCCACCAGGAACAGTCCCATTAATCCCACCAATAGAAGTGTGCCCTCGGAGGTTACCTGCATCGTCTCCATGGGGGTCGCTGCCTACAGCCATGATGTCCGAGGCACCATCCTTGCCGGAATACTCATGGGCCCTAGAATGGGTGGCAACCAGCTTGTCAACGCCCTCATTCGTGGCCATGAGCACCCGGTTCCAAGCCTCAGAGATTGTGAACGAGCGTTGTAGATTAAGAAACGCGATAACTTTCCACACTGCATCATAGACACAGTTCAAGTGAATGTATACTGGCTACAAGGGAGCCAGTCAGCGACTGCAATGCGACCGATGATAATAATCCCTGGAGAAGGGGTAACAAGAGGGACAAAGGACAGACACAAATCTCCAAACACAGCTAGGTGACTGGTGCGCGACCGAGAAATACTGCCTGGGGGGCTATGTTGCGCTTTTTGCACTCCCAGGAGACTAGGGAGAGGGAAGTGACGTCAACGACACAGCAAACGCAGATTGGGTGTTGATTTCGTTTTCTTCTGTCAACATCCAATCTGCATTTGCTGTGACGTTGACGTCACTTCCCTCTTCCAAGTCTCCTGGGAGTGCAAAAAGCGCAACATAGCACCCCTGGTCCTGGTATTGAATCAGGGACCTGAATTTGTTTTAGTCGAGCATCAGTCGCCTAGCTGTGTTTGGCGATTTGTGTCTGTCCTTTGTCCTCCTTGTTTCTCCTTCTCCAGGGATTATTAGCGTCATTCTTGTCCAGCTCGCTTGCACTTTTGCATTAATTGCATAGTCATCATGCAATATGTCAATGTTTATTTCTACCACGTAACATCTAGCACGCTGCCATGATTTTTTTTTTTTTTTTTATCGTGATGAAATAAAGAAGTGTTTTTGTTGACATCTTGAACACCGCCAGCTAAGAAAGAACTAGGCGGGCGCAAGTCAGTCAAACTTTCATTCGCCTGCTACAGAGCGCGACCATGCGATGCAACATTTTGGAGTTCCTTTTATTTTTTTAATTATTCTTCTTAGGTAAAAGTTTGGTCTCATAACTACAGGTGTAGTGGAATATAATTGTGTGGGACTCCAACTTAGGCAATAAAATTTTGTATTCGCCACTAACCTGCGTTAGTAGACGCGAAACTTGAGAAGTGCCGCGTCTGCGTAGCGTTTCGTTTCGTACACATACCAATGCCCAGCCCCAAGCCCACCCTCTCACTGCAAAGTACTGTTGCCCTGTGCGCGCGGAAAGGTAGGGCATGTCCCTCATGCGCTCCCCATGACTGACGCAGAGCACTCACCAACGAGCATCGTGAAGCATATCAGTGGCAATCTCGTCGTAACCACGTAAATAAAATGCCCGGAAGCGGAGGTCGCCGCCATTAACGATGGGGGGCCGCACAGTGGCCGAAGCTCTCTAGAAGACACGGCCGACACGGCCTCTTGAATTACGTCATCGTTGGTGGCACCCTGACACGCCCCAAATGCCCCAACCGGCAAACATACGGGGCAAAGTGCAAAGTGCCAGCCCCGGGCGCGACCACGGAGCTAACGGTGCGAGTGCGACAGGCGCGTGTGTCTATGCGTACGGCCGTACACGTAGATGAAAAGCCAAAAGTCAGTTGGCAATCTTCCTACGCCTGGCGCCTTTTCGTGGCGCGTCCGCTCGGGTGCTCTCTGCCTCCGTGCAACTTTGGATGGATACACTCTGCCTAGGCATGCCTAGGCAGAGCCGTTTATGTGCCTACGGTGGCAAGTGATTATCATTCTATTGGTGGTTTCTATGATAAACAAATTTGTTTTGCGCGAAAGTCTGCGCAAAATGGAGTGTTGTTCAAAAATTTCGGAAACGGTCTCTTCAGCTTATCTGCTGTACCCCAGTCTCTCCTGAGCCGAAATAAATCAAATGAAAATGGAGGCTTTGCCGCTGGTGCGGCAACGGCTCCAGGTACGGAGGGTACGGGGCGTACGGGGGCAACGGGGGCTTTGCCCAGCACGGTCGGCACGGACGTTGACACCTGTAGAACTAGTGGGTAGGTGGCGCAAACAACCGCCCAATTAAAAGGATCCACTCTGGTATACATTCATTTATCTATTCACACGTTCGTTTTGCATTTTGTTTCGGAAGCTCCTTGTTCGGAAAGCACGAAGCAGGAGCAAGATGGCAGCAATGGCATTGCCTTCTCGAGATATTTGCTTCAAGCACCGGTCGCGGACTCGCACCACCAACTGGGGAGACGTGGAGACGTTGCAGCTGATCGAACTGTGGCAGTCCTTCCGCTATGAGCTGCAGCAAACCAAGAAGCGGCGTCCCATCTTCGAGCAGATGAGCCGGATGATGCACGGTTTCGGCTTCAGGAGGGACGCCAACGAAATACAAGGAAGAATTACCAACCTCGCCTACCTGTACCGGTGAGCCTCGACCGTATGTCCGACCCTGTGACCGGCCGGAGCCGCGGCTGACTGGCCCGTCCGCCGCGGCTCCTCGCTCGGGCTCCCTCTAGGGATCTGTCACCTGTCATGTTGACACTGCTCTGATACGACCAAAACAAAAACATCAAACGCGAGTCGCGGCAAGAACGCACCAGCACGGTCGTTGACGCCTGTGCAATAATGCGTTGCGCCTTTTTTTTTTTTTTTTTCCGCTCTGCACTGCTTGCCCATGCCTGCTTAAAACTCACGATGTTTGCACGCTGCCGACTGGGCATCAAGGAGTCTGATCGAGGTGTGTCGGTGCTCCGATGAAGGGTCAGCTTGATGGGATGCGGGGTGCTGGCACGATTCCCTTTCTTGTTCACGCTTAAACGAAGATCCGCCACTACGCATCCCCTCTACTGCGGCATTGCAAAACGCAAAACGCGTTTTTCGTTCTTTATCTTTTCTTTTCTTTTTTCCTTCTTGTTTTGATGCAGGCGGGAAGGAAAGCTCCGGCTCGAAGATCCCTCGCGGTCTCCGTGGAAATTCTGGGAAAATGTACACAAGGTTCTTCGCGGCGAGCCTCCCCGGCGTACGTTGTCAGCGTCGATGTTTCAAGCACACCGATCCGGAGTGTCTGGTATTGCGCTTTCTCTCGCTTGTTGGCATTCGGTGTTCAGTTCTGAAAACGGGCGCTCCTGTTTGCCACCCGTCGGATGTTAACGCAGCGCGGTGATTACTGCCGTGATTCAGCGTACAGGGAGTAGAAGGTTGTCAAACCTTTTTTACTCTTTGCCTGTGACTCGAGTGAAATGTTTTGTATAAACACCAGTGAATGAATGCAGATGGCATTTATCCGTTGGGGTCTGTTGAAAATGACAACTTGGATAGCGTGAAATGGCTGAAGCATGCTCTCATGTCTTAGCTTGGGGATGGTTCTGGACGTTTAATCAAACACCGTTTGATCGAAGCCGGTTCATTGAACTCCACCTATTTGAGCAGTAGGAATTATTTTATCTAGGATATACGTTTAACACTGGAAGGATAGCAGTGTTATAGTAATCACTATAACCTTTCCACTTACTTTTAATATGGAGTGAGGAACTAATAATAAGAAACTTTATTTTCTCCAGCTCTCTGCCATTACTTCTTTTTATATTAATTGATGGCTTGTGCTGTAATGCGGCCAGTAATAAACGGAAACACCGACTTGACATTTTTTTTAAATTTGTGATCATTGGGTGCTGTGACGAATGTATTATGTCCCTTCAAGGGTGTATTCTCGGCATTGAAAGGGCACATTCTGCTTCAAACACAATGAAGTCGTCCTTGAAGCAGTGACCATGTCGCAGGAAACAGAAAAAGAGACATATCTCCCCACTTTTTTCATTCTTCATAATCAGCAGAACCGTGACCCTGCTCAGAATACTTTGAAGAATACATTGAAAGTCATTTGATCATATTCTGTTTTATCGTATTTATATTGCAAGCGATCATCCTTCCAGAGACCTCGTATCGCTGCAAAGATGATTGCAGTTATGAGATTGTCTTTGCAGAAGGTGCGCTCAAAAGGAAGTAAATTTTAATATTTCTTGCCTTTTTGCTTTGTAAGACCCACCTCAAGCAGGTGCTTATTTTCTAAACGTGAAAATTAACGAAGGACAGACTAATAACATTGTGTCATTTTATTTAGGCCAAACAATAAAAAAGTGGAAGAAAGGCGGTCACTCACTGCAGCAAGGTACTCGTGTATATGTGGTAAGGCACAAGTACGCCCCTGGTAAGATATCACAATATTCAATAACGGCAACACCTATCGGTTTTAATTTTAAACACGAACCCTCAACTGCATGCACAAAACCATATGCTTGAAAACTACTTGCTAGCTGTCAAGAAAAAACGAAAATGCACACACGCAAAGTTTTACTTGGCGAAGTTACTGTGTAGAAGAAACAGAATGTCGTCAACATTGACGGATTCAGACTGGTTCGCTTCTCTTAAATTAGTTCCTGCTAATAAGAAGTCACTCTCCGTTGGTGCACTTGATGCTGGGGATGTTGTAGCGAACAAGGAGGCGGTAGGAAACTCTTGCTTAGGCAAGTTCCAACACTCCGGAGTATCGAATTCAGTCTCCTCTAACTACTTGTAGGAGGCTTTTAGTTTCTTGTGGCTTGCACGTTTTAAGTTATTTTTGTCCAAAGAATGTTTTCTACTCTTTTCTTGCAAAAACAAGAACACGCTTTCCCGGGACAACTAATGCTCCTGCATTCTTTACTTTTTCTAGGGACAGCATTTTTGGGAAGATAGAGCATTCTAAAGCAATCTTTAGTGAGAATCAGATCTTTCTTGACGTAAGGAAAAATTTTTTCCCCTATTGGCACCTTTTTTCTAAGAGAGTAGTTTGCTCCCGCAATACATCCAATGGCGCACTTTATACTATCACTCACTGATTCACCCTACGCTCCCCAGTTGCACACTTTTCGGGGCCGCTTATGCAAAAATGTAGATCTGGACCCACGGAGATCCACATCCGATCCGCAATCCGCCAAATCTGATTAATTTTTATCTGCATTCGCCAGTTGACTGCGGATCATCCGCAGATATGCAGGGCTCTAATTATATCACTTTACCGGAAGTACCTTTCTTGCGTGAACAATTGGGGATGAGGAGGGAACAAAGTGTGTGGTGGAGAACAGCCGAGTATCTTACCTGAAAACAGTAATTCACATTACCAACTCAAATTTTCTTATGTTCTATGATCTAGTAACCAAAATTTTTGGGAAAAAGTGAACAGGGTAGTTATTTTATTTCTGGTAATTGGACAGCAGCGTTAAAAGAACTCGGAAGCAAGACAAATACATCTAAAAAGCACTGTAATGCCCTGATATTCGATGAAGCTAAATTTGATAAAATGATATCATGCAATTAGATGAAGTAGTGTTTTATGAATTGGCGTTCGATGAAATGTCCACATGTTCTATGAAACGGTGTTTGATGGAATGTCCGGTACCTGCTAAAGTGGTACAATCCTTTGTGGCTCAGGGTCCTGTCTTCTGCGCTTCTGGGAACTCCCCTGAAGACGTCCCAGAGCAGAAAAGCTATTGGTCAACCTAATTTGCATGCATTTAGGACACACGAAGGGGGGGGGGGCAAACACGTTTGAAGGAATTTTCTTCACATGCATTTACTTTGTTTTGGTTTTTGCTGTGTTCATGCACAGATTCAGGGGCAGGCAGTACAAATTCCCTCAATACGCTCTGGACATAGACGGTATTCCAGGTTACTGGGTGGGGTTTTCAGCAATAGACCATTTGCTATATTCCTAAGCGCCCCGACCCGCACTCGGAGGAATCATTGGAACGGTGTTCCTTCAGCCCCCTACTGATCGCTAATTTTCAACCAACGCCATGGTTACACAGTTTTTGAGCGTAATTCGGAGTCGCCCTGAACAAGCGCCTGATATACCCCAAGGACCTGTCATATCACTTTAAAAATTGCTCGTCAATGGCAGCAATTTTGATACTGCACATGCGATCCACCTTTCAACCTGGCTGAGCTGCAGAAATCTCTTACGATATTATCATTCTCGTGATTGTTGTTTGAGCAGGAATTGCTTAAAAAGCCCATAATTCACAACAACAAAAACCAGGATTTAGCTCTAAGTCAGCGGGGCTGTTTATAACATTTTTAGCGTTTCTAACTTAATATCAGCATGATAATAATGTAAGAGATTTCTGCAGCCCATCCAGGTTGAAAGGTGGACAGCATGCACAGTATCAAAAACGCTGACATTGAGGAGAAATTTTAAAAGTGATATGACAGGTCATTGAGGTATATCAGGCGCGTGTTCAGGGTGACTCCGAATTACGCTCAAAAGATGTGTAACCAAAGATAGGGTCGAAATTACCAATCAGTAAGGAGCTGAAGGAACAGCGTTCCCATGATTCTTTTAGCGCGGGCCGGGGCACTTGGGGGATATAGCAAATGGTCTATAGAGTGAGGCATGCATTTGCCTGCAACTTGTTCATAGTCCACAACTGTAAGTGCCGTAGATCAGATAAAGTACTGAACACTCGCTCTGTCGCACAGCAGTGTAGTGTCATCGTGAGTCTGCATAGGGGGAGTCTGGCACAAACCCTTGTTGCATATGCAAGAATAGTTTGTGCATGTGAGCACTTTGACAAACCAAACATTGTTTTGCCCCCCATTGTTGCTAAATTCCTGCATGTAAATCTAATCCTGCATCTGTGCACATCATTGAACCTGCTCATCAAGCTAAGCAAAGTATGGCTAAATTGACTTTGCTTGTTGCTTTAGTAGTTTTTCAACTTGATGCTCTAATATTGTTTCTTTCTTGCTAAAGTGCACAATGATACAGGAAGCCCAAAGATTCCCCTGGGTGATGTGTAGACCCCAGACAATATTGTGCCAAATCATCCCAAGGGACTTAGTGAAATCATTTGCACTCTCGTGTCATGCGTTTATTTGAATTTTATGACCACACGTTAGTGAACAGGAAATGAAAATGCCATGATTGAAACAGGCTTGCATCCATTACCGACAGAAATGCGTATGGCTGTCTAGTAAATACTTGAGATTTCCAGATCCTATCTTATAATTGCAGATTGAGACGCATTCGTGCAGGCTTATTGGTCCTGTAAACCACCCCTGGTTACAGCACTCCCTAATCATTCCACTGCAAAAGTAGAAGTGCTGTAGCAGTTTGGATCACTAGAATAGTTTTGTACAGTGGCCCAAGTTTTTAATAATATCAAGCGAGCGTCGACCACCGGGACGACCAGTACCGTGCCACGGAGGGGTGTGGCGATATGGGAGAGATTAGGCGCATGTGCGCAAAGCTTTTTCCGGTGCGGGCGTCGTCTGCTAGGCTATTCCGTTGACCGCACACAGCCCCTACTCCATAGGAAGCGCTGTTCAGATCTTTGCTTAAAGGCCGACCAACAAGCAGAAAGAAGGAAACTCTCCCTCAATTCCTCCGTTCCATTTGAGAAAGAGGGAGACCCTCCTCCTCTCTACCGGGAGTAGTTCAGAGATCCGCTCTTGTGTGGAGAGGAGGGGAAAAGTGGGCGAATAGGAATGGAGAGAAGGAAACTGGGAACCGTTTTTTCCCCCGGTAGAAGACGATTCTGTAGGTCGGACTTTAAGTCATTTGGAAAGGTTGTTTTTGTTCTTATATTGTTTAAAAGGTGTTAGTTCTCACATATACCAAGTCTTATATTACAAAACTGCCTATTCATCTCAGGGCAATAGAAAAACATGTGGAGTCTTTTTTCTTGCGGTCTACATTGTGTGGACCAATGAAAGCCTTACAATACGTGCAGATTCCGAATGATTATATTATAACTCGTTTCGAAAAGAGTCTGGTAGGTACACATTCGGGTAAGGCTCCTCTTATTCTCCGCGGGCGAAGCCATCGCTTGCAACTCGCCTACAAGTGACCTTTGTCGACCACTTCACTCGGAAGAAAATTCTTTCCAAAAAGGGCGTGTCACAATCTTTGAACACGCTATTAACGAGGAAATAAGCTACGCACAGTTGTGGTTTCGGGTTTGTTGGGATGCTTAGAGCGTCTAGATTGAGTTGTCACCACAAAAGGACGATCTCGGAATCGACTTCAGT